TAGACGCGGCACCCTTGAGGGGCTGACCGGGTGGAGCGGTCACGTCGGCGTTTCGTGCAAGTCTGAAGTTCAGCTAGATACAGACGTGGAATTGCCCAGATGTTACTGTCTCCAGCAGTGGGGACCACGAAGGGGCGAGAGTAAAGACGGGAGGAGAGGCACAGGGCAGCGTTATGCAGCTGCGTCCCAGTAAGGCGGTGGCAGTGAGCCTTGGCCGTGGAGAGCCCTAGTTTTCCAGCTATTTCCTTGGGGAATTTATGGCTCCACAGACTTCACCTTGTGCGAAGTGGCCCACTGGGAAAGGTTATGCGAACGCATAGCGGTTTGGATTATGGCTGCAGTTTCTGGACTTGGTTTTCCAATAAAGGTGTTTTTAGTTTCTCTAGGAAACATGGCTGTCATATTTTAAATCACCCATGAAATTGAGATTAATTTAGGAGGGACCTGAAGAGTCCACGCTGGCCCTGAGGGAACAGTCTGTTCCGCTGCATTTGAAAGGTCGTCTAGAGCTTGGGGGCTCCAGCTTGTCCAGAATTTTAGAATGTGTATGAGGTGCCTGAGTGTGAAAAGGTTCATGGGCCTGGAGAGGGACACTGACTATGTGTCTCATCAAGAAAAGAAAAGACAGACACCAGGCCGGCGGGGTTTTGTAGGAAGTAAGTCTTCCTGCTCTGGTTATAGAAGATTTTCATCTGCTGTGGTGCTTGACTCAGCCAGCGAGTGCGAGGACATGGGGGCCCCTTTCCTTGCTCCCTGGCATCTTATCACCAGTTCGAGGGAACTTCGTGAACGCTTGCAAGGTAGCCGATGGCCGTTGAGAGCTGAGTAGGTGTTTTCTGAATGCCTCCTGTGTGTCCGGTGTCCGTGCAGATAGACTGGTGCTTTGTCTTCAGGCGCTCAGCTGTGTCGTACGGATTAGGTGTGTTGTAACGGTTTAAAAACGTGGGCAGCGGTGAGATGGAGAACCGAGGGGAAGCTTCATGGGACATGCAAGGAAGCCGTGAATGCCGTGTCAGATCTGGAAGGCGTGGCGGGGAGCAGAGAGCATTTCCGATCGGGAGACCAGCGTGCGGTCACCGGGCGTTCTGGAGCCTGGCCTGACCCTGCCGGGCTGCAGCGTGGAATTCAAGCTCGGGAGCCTGATGCTTGGGTTCGAATGGCTCCGTCACTTCGTGGCTTTGTGATCTAGGGCAAGCTGCCTGCCTTTCAAAGCCTGAGCTTTCTCATCTGTGGGGTGGGGATACTAAGTACCTACCGCAGAAGGGAAATGCGATGACCAAGGGACAGTTTGGGGGGACCTTGAAAGCCATAGGGAGGACTAAACTTCACTGAGTGGCTGTGGGGAGTCCCATGGGCTTTCTGTGCTGGGGAGTGCGGTGGAAATGCTGTAATACCCATCTGGGGGGTAATCATGGCAGGAGCGGTGAGGGCCGGGACCCCGAGCCCAGTGCGCATCACTTACGGTCAACAGGTTTAAAGTCTCTAAGCCTCAGTTTCCCCATGTGCAAGCAGAGGCTGGACTTCCTCCCTGAGGCAGTTTCTGGCTCTGATATTTTAAGGCTTTCAGGCCTGTTACCATCTTTCAGGTTCACAATCTGAGTTGGGCTCAGGCTACTTAGTCCACTGGCTCTCTCCTCACGCACAGTAGGGTCGTTTGTGGTTCAGCCTGTGGACCTGAGTCCCAGAGGAAAAGGTCGAGGCACTCATTCCTTTATTTCTTCACTGTGACACTGCACGTCCACTCCCCCGAGGCCTGGCGGGTCCTGCTGGAGTGAGCCGACCCAGTATCAGCAAAGCCACGTCAGAGCAGTGGTGGCTCCAGGGCCCCACCTTTGCCTTGAGACAAGGTCCAGCTGATTTCCTGTGAGGAACCGGAGTCTCTGGCCATAAGGGAGAGGGCGTGTGTACACAGAGCCCTGTGAGTTTTGTGCCACAAAAGCAAATAGCCGTTCCCTCTGTACCCGTTAAAAGCCTGTTCTCTCCGCCAGAGTGTACTCACCTGTCCATAAGGCGTGAGAAATTCCTTCCCGGGGTCTCAGCTCCCAAGACCAGGAAATGCTCGTGGATTAGAAACAGCGCAGAAGGCAAAGCAGTGGCACCCTGACGCCCTCACGTCTGGGTTGATGGGTCTCCTCTGTAGGTTACGGGGAAGGGTTGGCTTCCTGCGGGGCGGCCTGGCCTGCCACCTCCTTGTACCAGGGCTGAATTACAACACTGCCACGTGCATGCGTTTGCATCACGTCTGGGGCTGCACCGAGGACGTGACACAGAGACCATGTGGCCCGCCAAGCCTCAAACGTGTTGTCTGGTCCTTTCAAGATTTTTCTTTTGTTTGCTGGCCTCTGATGGAGGTTGTTCTAAAAGAGGAATGACCCTCGCCCCACCATTTCCTCCTGATGACAGGATGGAGTACGGATGACTCGGGGAACCCGAGCGTGTGAGTGTGAGGCTAGGTTTCCACGTTGGTGTTAAGTCACAGAAAACTGCCAGCTGGTTGCTCACTGGCATCAAAACCACACCCCACAGGGCAGGTCAGGCAGAGCTTCACCACCATGGGGCGACGCAAGTGAGGGGGCCTCAGATCGTGAGGGACCCTGGACAGGAAACCTGACACCGTGGAAAATGTGATGCTGGTGGCACCTGGAGTTCCCAGTCTGGGCTTGACTGTCACAGCTAAGTTAAAGCTGCACGTTTGCCCGTGAGAGACTTAGGGCCTGCCACTCAGGCTCTGCTCTGGCAGCTTGGGGTGGGGCTGTGTGCAGAGGGGGGACCAGCCACCACTTATGTGGCATGGTGAAATGTGCCCTGGGTGGGCGTGGAAGCCGTAGCACATTCCCCTGCCACGAGGAGTGGGTGCGGCTGGCCCTGTGCATCCCGGGGTGGATGGGGCCCTCTCCGACCCCGAATATACCAGCGTGTCACCCCCACCCTGCAGTGGTCCCTGAGGTGGGTGAGACTGTTTTACCAGGCAGGTCACCTGGTTTCGGAGTAGGTCCGCGGCTGGGGTGAGGGCCTGCAGGTGGGGTGGGGTGGCCTGGCGTGTTGCTGGTTCCGGGAGGAGCCTCCTGTGACCTGAGCCCTTGGCCCGCTGGCCCCTCACCGCTGGCTTCTGCTCCGCAGGCTGGCGCCCATGCGGCTGTACACGCTGTCCAAGCGCCACTTCGTCCTCGTGTTCGTCGTCTTCTTCGTCTGTTTTGGCCTGACCGTCTTCATCGGGATCAGAGGTAAGGTGCAGGTTTGGATCCTTCTATCATTTCTGGTTCTCTTGCTGCAGCGCTTTTTAGCCCAGCCCAGCTGTACCCACCTGCTCTCTCCCGCCAAGGGCCCCGTCGTGCGCCCGCCGAGTGGAGGGGTGACCCTGCTTCCGTCCCACACAGCTAGGGCCTGAGGTCAGTGTGGCAGCACTGGGCGACCTTGACAGTGTAGCTTTTGTTGGAGAGTCAGACATTTCTGGAGAGGCTGTTGCGAGCCAGGACGCAGCCTGAGTGCTGGGGAATCCAGACCATGCTGGTGGCTGTGGGAGACGGGCCGGTGGACATTCTACTGCAGCAAGGGGCGGGGGCGGGGTGTGTGAGGTGCTGGGGCACAGGCCTAGGGCGGCCGCGGGGGCAGGAAGGCTGCTCTGGCGATGCCCGAGCTCTTGGCAGGAAGGGACCTGCGGGTGGCGTTGGCCTTGTCTTCAGGGCCCGAGGTGCCCTATGGTCCCCCAGCATGCTGTTTGAAGGGAAGAAACCTGGGTTTCTGGAACCTTGTGAAAACCAGCCGACTTCTCTGGCCCTCAGCTTTCCACCTCTGAGAAAGGGAGTTGGATGGGACGATTTCAAAGGCATTTTCGAAGCTAAAGTCGCTATGGTGTGTGCCTCAGCGGACTAGTTTCTTAACCTGAAACTTGGCTTGGTGAACGGACGGAGGAAGCTGGGGAGAGGGTGGTTATTTAGTTGCTATTTACCTGCTGATGATGAAGGCGGTGATGGTGACAATGGCAACTGTAGCCAACCCCTTGTTTTTCTTCCCACGAAGTCCCCAAAGAATAACGGTTACATTAATCACAGCGCAAGACATACCCATTATCTTGGGTGCTTTTCACGGCTGTCCCTTAAGGTTTGTAGGGGACCATTCATGTTCTCATGGAATCCAGTCTCACGGGACCTCAGCCAGCTCTCGTTTCCTTAAGCCATTGTCTGTCTCAAACACCCGGGATTATGCTCAACCTTCTCCCCTCTTGCAGAGACGAAAAGTGACGCGGCAGGGCCGAGAGGAGAAACGTGACGTCAGGGTTGCTGGGCCCCTGCCCTTCTTCCCGTAGGGTCCTGGCATTAGCCAGGGTTCTCCAGAGAGACACCGGTGGGGTGAAACAGCCAATAGGAGATTTATATAGATGCAGATTTATTACAAGGAACTGGCTCGTGTCAATACGGAGGCTGAGACGTCTCGGGGCCGCACCTGGTGGGACCGGTGAATTCCGTGGGCGTGGCCCGTTGCTACACTTCTTTTGCTGCGAGGTGACTTTCGTGGTCAGGAGCAATGCCGTGTGGAGTACCGTGATGGTGCTAAGGCCAGCTTGGTAGTCCACAGACGGTAGTTTTGGCAAAAGTGTTGCGCGTGGGGAAGGCAGTCCATACCCAGAGTGAGTGTAAGGTCCGTTAAGAACAAGACGCGGTCCATTAAGAACATACCCAGAGTGAGTGTAAGGTCCATTAAGAACAAGTCGTGAGGGAAGAGGTCCCATGCAGTCAGTCCGCACTGATCACCTCGGTCAGTAGCTGGCTGACCGCTCCCCCCAGTCCCCTAGGAAACAGGGCTGTGTCAGGGGCCCAGTGTTGGACTCTGCTGCTGGCACACTGGGCACTCAGCGGTGGCCGTGGCCAGGTCAGCCTTGGTGAGTGGAGTCCAGGTGCTGAGCCCGTGCATAACCTCCACCCCTGCCCCCAAGGTCACTTTGCTCATGAGCCCACTGGGCAGTGGCCGGGGACAGGGGCCGACGGGTATCCACTGGGTGGGTCATCCTTCCTTCTCGATTATTAAAACCCTCCCTTACAGAGGTCACTTTGGTTAGCAATCACATAGAACCCAAGTATTTTCATATTTTTTGCCTATTTAGAGAGGTCCGGCCACATACCTCTTCCTCAAATTTCCTTGTCACCATTTTTCCCACGTGTTCCTTCCAAGTCCCTTACCATGTAGGCAAACCATTGGCCACACCCAGCTGGCATATAGTCCAAGCACAGTGGACAGCCAGGTGCACTGCCCCAAGCTCTGCCCGCTGGGGGGATTTTCCTTCACCTCTGTCCTTCAGGGGTGTCCTGGGGGCTGCAGTGCCACAGCTGTCCCCTTCAGGTGGTGCCTGCCTATCGTGAAGAACCGCCTGCAAACCAGGCCCGAGTCTCCTCGTCCTCTGTCAGTTGACCTTAGAGAACTCCGATGGTGCCACAGGTGCATCTGGGAGACAGAACTTACTGAAGCTGAGTGGGGACCGTGGGTGCTGGGGCCACTTCTTCCTGTAACCTTCCTGAGCCTCCGGGGCCTGCTCGGGCCGGGTCACACACGTACCGTCCCATCTGGTGATGGAGCACTGCCCTGCACGCCCAGCTGCGTGGCTTGGTGGGTCAGGTAACGCCCGTCATGATGGACAGCTCAGGTCGCACGGTCACTTGGTAGCCGGTGGTTAAGCGTCAGTCTCTGCTGAGGCCCAGCAGCAGGCCAAGTGGAGACTAGTTATCTGCAGAGGATGACCCACCCAGCGGATACCCGTTATCTGCAGAGGACGGGTCCTGAACGCCTGCTCTGAGACTCACCCCGGCGGCCTGCGGAAGGCTCCAGCTGGCATCCTGGTCTGCCGCCGCCTCGCACACGTTGGCGCTGCGGCCAGCAGGGGGCAGCACGCACGGCAGGCCCGGCCTGTAGCAGCGCCTCCTCTGTCTCGGGACCCACTTGTATGCAGCAGCTTTTGGGTCACTGGGTACGTGGGCCGGAGTAGCCCACCCAGCTGGGGAACATGTCACCTTCAAACCCCAGAGCCAGTCAGGCGTCGTGCATCTGTTCTGGGTGCACGAGAGCCCCAGGGCAGCAGCTTATCCTCACCTCAGAAGGGATATCTCTGCAGGGCGCACACCGGTGCCCCAGAAAGTTCACTGAAGCAGAAGGCTCTTGAATTGTCATCAGATTCATTTTCCACCTTCTGACATGCAAGTGTCTTGCCGACAAGTTTAGAGTAGTTGCTATTTGTCACTCACTTGCTACGATCAGCATAACGTCTTCAGTGTGATGGACCAGCATGATAACTTGTTGGGGGGAAGATGGTCCGGGCCTCTGTGGACTAAGTTGACATCAGCGGGAGAGTCGATCTACCCAGCTGCAGGACAATGAAGTGTACTGCTGGCCTTGCTAGCGAAAGCAAACAGCTGGTGGGCCTTGTTGGGGATGGAGAAAAAGCCATTTGCCAGAGAAGTAGTTGCATATCAGGTACCAGAGGACGTGTGAATTTGCTCACACGATGAAGCCCCGTCTGGTACAGCAGCTGCGCTTGGAGTCGCCACCTGGTCGAGCTTATGATAATCCGCTGTCACCCTCTCGGACCCATGTGGCTTCCACACAGGCTGTGTGAATTTGCTCACACGATGAAGCTCCGTCTGGTACAGCAGCTGCGCTTGGAGTCACCACCTGGTCGAGCTTATGATAATCTGCTGTCAGTCACCCTCTCGGACCCATGTGGCTTCCACACAGGCCAAACACATGAGTTGAATAGGGATGTGGGCAACTTTCAAGTCCTTCATGGTGGCACTAATGTCTGCAGTCCCTCCAGGAATGCGACATTGGTTTTGGTTTACTATTTTCTTAGGTGGAGGCATTCTGGTGGCTTCCACTTGGCCTTTCCCACCATGATAGCCCTCACTCCATAGGTCAGGGAACCAGTGGGGTTTCTGCCAGCTGCGTGTTCCAATTACGCAGCCTAGACTGGGGTGCTAACCACTGGATAAGTCTGGGCTCCTACTGGTCCCGTTGCGACACGTACCTGAGCTAAAACTCCGGACATCCGTGGTCCCTACTCTGACTGGTGGACCACAGTGCCGTATTTGGGTCTCCTGGAATCAGTGTCAGATCAGGGCTCGTGTCTAGTAGTCCCCCACATGTCTGATAATTTCCTTTTTCCCAGTGCACACGTATCTAGGTAAAAGGCTATAGGTTCCTTTAGGGGAATAATTAACAGTATGAATTTTTGGCAGTATACCAGGTCGCTTTCTTAAGGGACCCAGCACCTTCTTCGTTTGAGGGGTTTTGGGTCTGTAACCTGGCTCATATCTGGAAACTGTTGAGAGTCTGTGACTCTGTTTCTGTGATTTCAGGTTCGACTTTGTTCACTTGACCTGGAACTTTTCTGTTTATACAGATTAAGTAAGAATTTAGTTGGCTTCCTATGAATTTCACTTCTGGGAACACCATGCTCAGCTAGGCCACGCCGCAGGTCAGTGTGAGTCAGGCTGTCGTGATTGCCGCCTTGACTCTGCCGTCCATGACGATAACCACACCCACCTTGCCCTTGGCGGTGGAGAGCCACCGCCGGCCCCTGCCACCCTGCATCCAGGGACTCCACTGCGCTTTGTTTTCCCAAGTTGGTAACCGCAGTTCCCACCGTCAGGAAGGCCTGGCGTCCGGAGAGGGGCATCTCAGAGCTCCGAGGGTGCTGGGGCTCCCCTCACCCGGTGGGTCTTAAATAACAAATCCAGCCCAACAGACACCCTGGGCTCCCCAGGCCTCTGACTCCCTCCTCTGCTTTCAGCCAGACAGGTGGCCTTTCGATTCACCCACCTTTTGGTCATTTTTTTTGCCAGCCAACCAGTCAGACTGTTAAGAGTCACAGCGCGCGAGCTGTGACTTTAAGTGTAGAGTGTCTGCTTGGTGAGCCCCGATCCGACCTCGCTCCTTCCACCGTGTCTCACACCCCGGGTGTCCATTCCCACGCATGTTCTCCAGTTTCTATCCGTATAAATCAGAAAACTCGAGTAGTTCTTTTGGGGTGTAGCACCCTCCTCATGAGTCACCCTTTGTACCTTGCCTGCTGGGACTTGAGTCTCGTTACAGTTCTAGAAGCGAAGAGGGTGCGTTCTGAGGAGAGTCAGCTTTGTCCCTTGAGGCAGCTGCCCCGGGGGAGGCCAGTCCCGTGGGGAGTGCAGGGTGGGTCCCTTAGAAGAGGAACAGCCGCCTCCACTGGGGATGGGAAGACCTCCCCCACTGGCACAGGTGGCTCATCCGTGTCCCCCAGCTTTGTCGGGATCTGCCCGTGTGTTCCCAGAACAGGAACCCCCTCTTCCCTAGTCGATGCCCTCGCTTTAACAGCGCGGCACCTGTGCGGCTGGGGATTCACCTCGCCTTGCAATCCAGCCACTTGCAAGATGAGGTTCTGGGCCTGATTTTCGACATTCTGTGCCCGGTGGCGGCAGGCGGTCAGGGCCTCCTTCAGGGGATGCAGAGAAGCTTCCGGTCACTTATGGGCACTTGAGCTGGGAACTCAGATCCCCCAGCTCATCCTTTTCTTTCCCCGCTTTGTCCGGCCGCATTAGAGGCAGCCAGCCGACCTCATTACGTTGGTTAGTTTTCAATAAATGTTCTAAAGTGTCATAACCAGTCACTGAGCTCCTTGCTTCTTAGAAGCGGTTGATTAGGCGCATCCGACCGATTCTGCATCTTTTCATGGCCCATCGGTGCTCCCTCTACGACAGGACATAGTCATTAGCGTCTTTAAATCTAAGCAGGTTAGGGAACCAATTCCAGAAACCCCAGAACCACCATGGAAAACTCATCCTTAACATTCTTTCCTGAAGAACTAAAGTCTGTATTAGTCAGGGTTGTCCAGAGACACCGAACCCGCGGCAGGTGGGGGATGGGCAGTGAGGCAGCGGGAAACTGGCGTCCCAGGCTGGCAGTGGTTTGTCTTAGAACAAATGCAGGTCTAAGTTCATTCACACTGTTTCCTTTGGTCAGTTCTTCTAAGGCCAAAGCTCTGAAACATTACAGGGTAAGACTCTACGAAGCTTGCATATCTGTCATTTCAGGAAAAACCTCAAGTCTATATTAGTATACATTATGCTTTTTTATATCCTCAGCTTCATAAATAGTTTTGGAAGACTGGATTAAATTGAATAGATCGATGTGTCTAAATTTTTTAGCAGAAATCTTTAAACCGTAGGAAATAGATAGATGCCGTGTGCGTCACGAGCGTTCTCCTGGGCCCGCGTTGCAGAGGGGCCATCGAGAGCAGTGGCGAGGGCCCGCCCGGCCAGCAGACCGGGGAGACGGTATCTGTGTGGCGGTCATTGTGTCACCAGCGCTGGGAGGTTGTCAGGTGTGGCAGGGTGCACGCGTGTGTCAGTGTTCGTGCGTTTGTACGTTTTGTGTGTATATAAAACCCCTCAAGACAGACCAGGAAAATAAGACTACCTCCTTGTAACATATGAGTCTTTTCTGGTATTTGAAAAAAATCAATTAATTATCGATATAGATATAACCTGCCTGTTTCTTCTCTTACACTCTAGGGCCCAAAGTGATCCAGACTTCTGCAGCTAATTTTTCACTAAATAATAGCAAAAAGGTAAGACTGGCTCTAAGTGGCAGCCCGTGGAGTTTATAAACGTCCGGGCCACTAAGAAATGGCCCTGCTTTAGAGGGTCCTTAAGGCAGACCACCTCACTCTGCAGCTTGCTTCTCAGCAACGTGCGGTTCTTACTCCACTGTCGGCTACTGGCCTCCGGGTTCTCGTTTGCTGAAATGACCTTTTCTGCTGTAATAAATATGTCAGTGCCGAGAAAGGCCATGGTGTTAATGCTTAGGGAGCGGCAGTTCACTTCCAAAGGGTGCTTAACTCGTCCCAGCTCCTCACCTCTGCAAGTCTTACTGTATTGGTGAGTTCTGAAATGCTCACCGTGTTTGCCACAGTGAAGACGTGGTCTCCATGTCCGGCTTCTGACAGTGACAGTTTCTCTGACGATTGTCATTCCTGGCATGAACTAGTGTAAATGAAAAATCCTTTTTTTCCTTTTTTTTTTAATGTGCCTTGATTCATCACCATCATTAAAGAAAAACAAAGTTCTACCAATGGGACCTTTTTGGTATTTTTCAATACATACTAACTTCTGAGAGCCCAGACAACGAAACCCTTTTACTTCTCCGCATGGCTAACATAGTCTCTATCCGTAAACTGAACACAGTTGCCTTGAATCCTCATGGCATCATAACGTGTGGTTTAAATCTGATTATCTGACCCCAGATGTCTCCTTATCTCTGTTCTCCCAGTTCCCTGCTACGCTTGCAGAAACTCTTACAGGTTTTCACACAGGCAAAATGAAACAAATGTCATAAAACTGACACCTTTTAATTCTCCCTTTTGCCGCTGCGAGCTTGGGAGGGCTCCTGTTTGCCCATTTTCTTTGCATTCCCTCATTTCCTTTGCCTCCCAGGCCAAGGGTCTCATTCAGAGAGGTCCAGCCATGGGATCCCTGGACTGTAGTTTGGTCTTTGAAAATGCTTGTCCCTCGAGATGTCACTTTTGACACTGAAAATAGCCGCTGTCCCACAGAACTGACTTGCTTCCTCATGTCTGAAAGATTATAGGCATCGGACGATAGATGTCATCACTTTGGTGGCTTTGGGGCACATCTTCTGTCACAGGGGGTTGTATTGAGGCCTGCCAGAAGCACTAAAACCCCAAACCACATGTCCACATTCAAAGACTGTGCATTCAGACTTGCTTTTCTTTGGCACTGTGGGTGGTCTCCGTTCCCCACAGCCGTTAGATGCCAGTATTGTGTTTTTCAGCAGACACCACAGAAGTGTCACTGGCTACATAGTCCCCTCCAATTCACCCCCCGAGGGGTGTTAAGACTTTCCTAAAGCCGAAAGTAACAGACGTCCAACAGCAACATGTCTGGCAGACTGATACTAAATTAGTGATTCTTGTGAATATATTCCTTTGGTATTACTACCTTATTATACCTCTCATCATATGGGCTTTTAATTTTTTCTCTACGTAAGGGTATCGTCCCAAGGCTGCAGGCGGTGGAAGCCACTGCTCACAGGTTTTCCTGAGAGACAGAAGTGGGTTGCAGCAGGAAGCCAGCCCTTTCTTTTTCTGGAAGGCAGGATTTACTTATGTCGTCAAAAGGAAAACTGCACGTTTCTGTTTCAGCGCTGATGCGCTAACCTTTTTGCTGAATGTAGATTTTGCATGTGAAGGTGAGGTATTTGGTAGACGCGATGAAAAGGTCACGTGGGTTCCTTTAACTTTTTCTTTTTCCCTTAGATAAAGCCAATTCAAATACGTTCGAATCCACTGTCTAAATATAATCAGCAGCTGTGGCTGACATGCGTTGTGGAGTTGGACCACTCAAAAGGTACGAAGCCTGGAGGTCTGGTATGACTTTCCTTCATACAGAGCGCCATATTTTAAAAGCTGAAAGCTTTAAAATCTTTCAACAAGTGATCAAAGATGGATTGCAAGGATGGTCTTTATTCTTTATAAAAGCGACAAACTGGAAGCCCCTTAAATGTCCTCCAGTGGCTCCGGGGCACATCTTCTGTCACAGGGCGTTTCACTGAGGCCTCCCAGAAGTGCTGACACCTGATGCAGCCCTTGGAGTGCTGGTGGGATGCTGGTCAGCTGGTCAGGGGCTGCGTGCTGTACCTGCTACTGCTACAGCCTATTCAGTGGGGTCCTGGCGGTATCTGGAGACATTGTGACCTTTTGATTGTCACAGCTGGGGAGAAGGGGGTGCTACTGGCATCTAATGGGTGGAGACCGGGGATGCTGCTAAACATCCTACAATGCACAGGACAGACCCCACCAAAAAGGCTTATCTGGCCTCAAAATATCAGTGGTGCTGAGACTGAAGAACCCCGCCCCAAAGCAGCCACAGTTTATAATGAATTGTCTCCATTCATACGGAACGGCCCTGGTCATATACTGTCCCTGGTAGAACTGAGAAGGCGCTCACCCACTTCAGTTTCTACGTTCTGTGATTCAGGCGAAGAGCTTCGGTTGAGAAATAATTTGAAGAGAACCCTACGGCCATCGTCAATTAAGTGGAAAAAATACATATTACCAAAAAAAAAAAAAACCTTTTTGTAACATTTTAAGAAGATAAATTTGATATCACTGTGTATTTGTATACCTAGAAAATGGTCTAGAAGGGTGGACCCATACACGATCATGGTTATCTCTGGGAGGGGGATTGATTATAAGTGCTTAATGCCATTTTTATATTTTTTATATTATATGATTTCTTCATAAGCATATAATCAGAAAAATATATAATCAGAAAAATGAATCTATTTTTATATTGGTATAAAGTTAAAAATGTGGGAAAGAAAAAGTAAAATTTCATTGGCCTTGAAATATTTGTCCTTTTGCTGAAATGAAACTGGCAGGTCTGAAACGTGGGTTTTGGCCCGGGCCCCCAGCATGAGCAGTTGCACGTAGAACCTAACGGAAAGGCTTCCCTTTGCTGGCAAAGATGCCGAGGCGGCCAGAGACCGTGCTGCGCCGTCACAGCACCAGGCAGGCACCTTTGTGGGCGCCGTGCCTGCCGCGGCCTGACACTGGTTTTCTTTCTTTCGTAGAAACGTTCAGTCAGATAAGCTTTCCCATGACTGTTAAAGTGAGCGGGGTTGCTCAAGATGGAACCACCACGTTCATTAACAGCAAAGCGCACAACCGGACGAGGACCCTCACGTGCGCGAGGGTGAGTGGGCGCGATGGCCCCTGGCTTGTCGTGCCGCACGATCACGGACTCGCTTCTTAAGTAAAAGGTTGAGTCCGACTAAGGATGGTGGGGGAAACTCGCCTCCCTTTATGTGCTGATACTCTTAGGAATCTTAACCATACACACGTGCGGACACGCTCATGCACACGTGCACAAACATGTAAACACACTCACACACACACTGAGCATATGTGATACCTGGTTTGACTGTTTGTGCAGCTTACTGCCTGCTGTGTCCATGGGTGCCGGTGGGTGGGCCCCCATCACACACGTCTGCCACAGCTCCGTGGTCGTTTCTGATCACGGGGCTCAGGGTGGTTCCCCACGTGTGATGAATGCCTGGATCTGTCTAGGGGCTGAGGCCCAGGCCTCGCAGGAGGTGGGGCTGCTTCTTGAGCGTCTGCTTGAGGGTGCAGCAGGCGGCTGTGGGCAGGAAACCGATGGCCCGTGGTGGGACCGGAGCCCTCACCCTCGGTCTTGTCGGCGCCATATCGGTCAGGAGCGGAGGAGTCAGACAGAGGTCGCTGCTGTGGCGGAGAGGCCCTGTCAAGACGCCTGGTCACGTGGAGGACATGGCGGAGAGGACGTGTGTCTGATGCAGGGTGAGGACAGCAGTGTCCCCAGCGGGCTGTGTGCCGGGCACTTCCCGGACGTCACCCCGTTTAGCCCTCACAGCAGGCCCACGGAGCAGGATCTGTCATTGGAGCCCATTCTATACAAGAAGGAACCGTGGCTCGGGGAGGTCAGAGGTGGTGAGGGAAGGGCCAGCGCTGCAGCCGCACATGGCCCGGGGGGCGGCTGAGGAGCACTGGCCAGTTGGTCCCCGAGGAGGTTCGCAGGCGGGCGGCCTCCCGCCCAGTGGCTGTGGTCCCTCCCCGCCTGACGTGGGTGAGAACCCCAGCCTGAAGGGGACGGGCTGTCGGGAGGGCCGGCAGTATGCCCTCTCCCGGCAGAGTCACTGCCGTGTCCCCTCCCTGCACGGTGGCCCTCATGTGCCAGCCCTGTCAGGTGGACTAGGAAGCAGCACAGCGAGTGGCCTCTCTTCTGCCTCCGTGTCACCGCTGTGCTGTGCGTGGACTGGCCTGGTTTCCACGCCTTCCCTGCCTGTCCCTGGCGAGTGGTGAGGACCGAGGTGAATGTCGTGTGCCAGCGTGCGGTGCCCGCACAACCCCGCGTGCCTGCAGCAGGTGCTCCATCAGTGCTGCCGACCAGACGGGGGACGCCAGCTGTGGCGACTGCAAGGTCCGCCGTTCAAGCAGCAGCCTCCCCCGCTCCGTCCCCAGGCGGACGCCTGGGTCTGGCCTCAGCAGCTGGCATTGCTGTTTCTCGAACTGAGCAGGTGATGACAGGTGGTCAGTGACTTGACCCTGAGCCTGGTGTGACTGATCTTGCTGGTTTGTCTGGGACCCAGGGGTTTCCCAGGACACGGCACTTTCTGTTTTAAACAGGGAAGTCTCAGGCCCGTGGGGACGAGTTGGCCGCCCTGCCTGGAGCCTGTGCTTTGAGTAGAGCCAGGCTGCCCACGAGGCCACTGGTCTGCGCTGCTGCTTGGTCGGACGCGCCCGCCATTCTGTGCACTGTGACAGTGGCCCTTCGGGCATCGCTGTGGTTTCTCCCCGCCCCTGTCGGTGGCCTGACTTCAGTTTACATTGTGTTGCTGTTGGGAGCTTCTTCTTCTGTGGTTCTCTCTCTGCTCAGGTCCCTCCTTAGGCCTGTGAGGAGCACTGCCTTGATTTAAAAAAAAGATGGAGTATTTTGTTATAGAGACATCAACACCCTTTTGTATTACCTGTTTCTGATGTAAAGAAAAGATGTCGTCTCGGTCGGTTGTCCACACCTCGCGGGGAGAAGGCTGCAGTTCTCTCATGGAGCGATTGTCAGCATGTGCACCATGGCTTGAACTTGGCATCCCCAAACCCTCAGATGGTTTCACTGTAGTTTTCAAACTTGAAGATGGGTACAGCCGGAGATATCCCTCTTTTGTTAATTGAAACACATCCTGTAAATCCAGGCAGATTCTTAACGTGTCAGGAGTGCTTTGCTACTCAGCTCAAATAGGTTCACTTGTGTAAACCGTCGTCACGCTGAGTCCTTAGCTGCCCCTCCCTGTGCATCACCCTGTGACCGTCGGAGATGAAAGGTCGATTTGGTTTTGGTGCGACCAGGGCCCCACACTCACGTGCCCTGTGAGCAGGTGGCCAGTACACATGAGGGAAGAGAAACCACAGCCCAGATGGAGTGAAAATAGCAATGGACTCGTGTTCCAGCCTTGGGAGAGCGGCCAGCGGTCCCCAGGTCCATGGCGGTGGGCTTTGGTGCAGGCCCGGTGTCTCCGTCTGGCCTGGTGGTTTGCAGAGGTTCTGACATGTACCTTCGTGCGCTCACCTTTTCTCCGCTGCCTTTCCTGTCCCTTAGGTCAGCAGCCCCGTCTCCGCCATGGTCCCGTTACCCTGTCAGGGCTTCTTGTGTGTCACCCAGAGCTGTTGTCCTGGGAAGCCTTTGATCAGTAGTAGGGGTGACCGTGCCCTGCTGAGCTGCGGCGCTAACGAGCGCCCCTGCGAAGCCGTAGAACTGCCTGCTTCTGGGCAGAGAGTGCCCTTTGATGGCGCCTCCCCTCGGGTACCGAGAGGACTTCCAAAGGGGCGTGCTGGCCGGTCCGGCAGGGCGTGCAGAGCTTTGCAGTCTCTGCTGGCCCGGCCACGAGTACTCATCTGCGTCCCCGTGCCACTGTGGAAAGAGGGGACCTGAGGAGACCCGATTCTTGATTCTAAAGGACAAAAGAAAGGGGTTCTTGGCGGAGATGTGAACACAGCACCCACACGAGCTTGTTCGCTGTGGTTCTCACAGCCTTTGTCGTGGCTGCGTCCTGACCTCCTAACAGACTTCAGGGGCCTCCGCGTCGGGAACGACAGGCTAATCGGGACCAAGGAAAGCTCGCAATCCACTGTGTGTCCTCACAGCAGTCGCCAAAGCCGCCAGAGCGTGAGCCGAGGGTCTGACTTGTGTCCCCGCTCACACTGCCCCGAGCCCCTGTGTTTGTAGGAGTGTCAGGTGGTGTCGTACTATGAACTTGTTAATGCACGTGCACATTATTTTGAATCACCCAAAGCAGAAAGTCTAATGACTGTAATTCATATATTATTTGTTTCCAAAAGTGCCTTTTTGGGTCTTTCTTTCTAAGAACTGTTTTTGGCTGGCATCTGAATTTTTCTGGGCTTCTGGCAAGTTCCCTGGAGATGATCAGTTCTGATTGTCTGTTGTTGAAATGTGTAACTTCATGGGTCCGGGGGTGGGAGACTGAGTCTAGCGTGCTTTAAAGACACAGCCTCCTGTGTATTTGCAGAAGTGTGCAGAAATCATCGTGGCTCACCTCGGCTACTTGAATTACACTCAGTACACAGTGATTGTGGGATTCGAACACCTGGACGTGCCCGTCAAGGAAATGAACTTTATAGTGAGTACGCCCGCTGGCCTCGCGTGTTTCCATGGCTCATTCGTTTAGCTCCCGTTCTTCTGACGAGTGAAGTAACCCAGCATCGAAATCATGTCATTTTGGACAGTGAAAGACATACACAGTTTTCAAAAATTATAGGGAAATCACAGTTCTTTAAGGATATGGAACCAAGAGTAGCTTAAAAAAAGAGCATGAAATTGGAAAACCTTCGCAGCGTTCTGAGATGAAGAACAGGGAGCAGAGGTTGGCGGTCCAGTGGAAGGTCGTTAAGAGGCTCCCAGACGAGCAGGGCTTCCTGCCCCGGCCCCTGGGCGTGGCTCAGTCCCCGCCAGAACCTCTGGTGAGGCGCAGGCACTGCTCTTATGTGGTCTGCCCGAGTGACACAGGTCTCATCGTTGGACTTCGTGTCCCCTAAAATCAACCTCCTCGTTCCTTCCACTTCCTGGGAGTCAGAATAGCCACTAATTCCAGAGCGCTTTCATCACCCCCGAAAGAAGCTTCTTAGTGTTCACTTCCTGTTCTCCCCTCTCCCAGCCCCCAGCCATCGCTCATCTTTCTGTCCCTACGGATTTGCCTCTTCTGGACCTTTCTGCCTGTTCTGGACATCTCATATGAATGCAGTCATACAGCATGTGGTCTTTTGTGAGTGACTTCTTTCGCTAAGCATAACATTTTCAACGTCCATCCGTGCTATTGCGGATATCTGTACTTCATTCTTTTTTTTGGCCAGGTAATATTTCGCTGTGGGAATACTGCATTTTGTGCATCCATTCATCAGTTGATGGGCATTTGGTTTGTTTCCCTTTTTGGCTATTATGAGTAATGCTGCTGTGAACATCTTAGTAAAGAGAACTGTCTCTGGGTGGTGGGCTTAAGGTTTAATTTTTTTCTCTTTTCTGTTTTTCATAATGAGCTCTTATTGCTTTCATAATCAAAAGACAAAATTAAAAAAAAAAAAGGCTCCTAAGGCAACTGCTATGTGAAGGGGAAGTCCAGGATACATTCTAGCCTTTCTCAGAAGGTTCGCTATGGAAGAGCTGGCTGCCTTAGAGAATCGCAGAGTAACATTGTCTCCAGCTTGTATAGAGACGCAATAAGAAATTACAGACCCTTACGCAAAGTGTTTCTACTGTTTCTACGTCTTCTATAAAATTGCTCTTGGAAACGGTATCCGTTATGTTGTGAACTTTGATCGAAACCTCCAGACGGAATTCCCTTTGTTCACATGTTCTGACTCCTTTTATGAGAGAGCGAGAGCTATAAACTCATGGCATTTCTCTTCTAGTGTTAGATGCTAGACATTTCAGAAATAAGCTTTTATGCCGAATTGCAGTAATTACTGACGTCCTGGTCCAGGTTTCTGCTATAATTATTTACCCTCTTTCTTGACAATTTTCCCATTTATAAAACTTTAAAAATTGTTTCTATCAAATCTGGCTTTTAAAAATTATCATTAGGAACTAACTACCTTTATTCCTTTTTCGAAGTAAACAATGTATGTGGAATAAAGTGCATCTTAAAAGTATGTTAGTGATACTATTGCAGACTTGCCAGAATGGCTAAAATGAAAAAGACGAGGAAATGCCACAGTTGGCCAGGGCGTGGGGCACCAGAGCTCTCCTGCTCTGCCTGTGAACGTGCGAATTAACACAGTGGACACGCGGGCACATGTTGCCCAAAAGACGTGCATTTAGATGTTCACATCACAGCTGCGCAATTCTCAGTAGCTCCAAATTGTGAACTGCTCATCAACAGGAGACTGAACACACAGATTGTGCTATATTCCTGTAATAGAATATTATGCAGCAATGAGAATGAATGATTACAGCTACGTGCAGCATCAGGGATGACTTTCTAAGCATAATGTTCAATGAAATAAGCCACCCACAAAATAGTACATAGTGTATGAGTCCATTTATATAAATTACAGAAACGGGCAAAGCGAATCCGTGTGGTTAAATCAGAATTAGTGTTGGTGGGTTAGTGACTCGAAGGGGCCAGAACGAGAGGGGCTTCTGGAACGCCGTGATGCTTCTTGATCAGAACACTGGTGTATGCAGTTTGTGACAGTTCATGGAGCTGTACACATAGGCTATGTACATGGTTCTTGGTAAGTATACTGTCTTTTGGTACAGACTTAAAGCATGGAGCACACTTTAAAAGTCAGAGCTCATAGGGGTTGTTGCCTGTGTAACCACGTACATTTCTTTAGACAATCCCTGCTGCTTTGACAGAATTTGACTTTCGAGAGTTTCTGTGCCTTTGGCTTGGCATTTCCTCGGAAATCTTTGGCGTTTGGAGTTTTGAGTTCTGCGCTCTCAAAGTCTAGAGTCCATTCTCACCGTGTGTGGTGGTGCCCTTGGCTCTTCTGTAAGGGCTCCAGGGCCAAGCGGTCACCTTCTCCTGGATGTCACCATTTGTTTCACTTGCCAGGTCTTCCTCCTCGAGGAGAATGAAGTTCAGGGTGAAAATGATCATAGTTGCTTCTTCAGCCTACTGGGAGGTAGCGTTGTCACTAGGGCAGGCTCAGAGCATTCGGATGCTCTGGGAGGTAGCGTTGTCACCAGGGCAGGCTCAGAGCATTCGGATGCTCTGTTTTTAGCAGAACGTGTCTGTCCTCATACTTTTCTTCAGATTTTTCGTACTTAGGATTCATGGAGCTTCTTGGATTTGTGAATTTATAATTTTCATCAAGTTTGTAAACAATTTGGCTATTATTTCTTCAAATATTTTTCCTATTCTTCTGCCCCTTTCCCCACACCCAGAGAAATTCAGGGACTCCAAATACACATCTCTTAAGCGACTTAGAGTTGTCTCATGGATTACCGACGCTCTGTTCAATTTTTTCTCTTTCATTTTAGACCGTTTCTATTGCTGTCTTCACGTTCACTAATCTCTGTCATATCCATCTTCCAGTTCTCTACTTCGCATGTTCCATCTTTCCTTTAGCTTCTTGATGTACTAAGCTGCTAATTCTATCATCAGTGGTTTCTGGGTCAGTTTCGATTGATTCATTTTTTCCTCATGATGGTTCATGTTTTCTTGCTTTTTTACATGTCTGGCATTTTTGATACTGCAAGACATTGTTGATTATTAGGTCTTCTATCCTTATAAATATTCTTGAGTTTCGGTCAGGGGTATCATAAAATTACTTGGAAATGGTTTGATCTTTTCAGGTCTTGCTTTTAAACTTCACTAGGTTGGACCAAAGCAGCGGTAAGTCTGAGGCTGATTTTCCCCCCACTGAGGTAAAGCCATTGGAGCAAACTGCCCAGTGCCCCGTTTTCCTCTCTGCCGGGGGAGCAGGTGCTGCTGCTGGCCCCTGTGAGCACCCGTGAGCCTCTGGGGACTTTTCCCAACCTCAGGTGGTGTACTCCACTCATACACGGTCAGTCCTCAGGTGGGGAGTGAGGCCGATACCTGGCACTCTCTCTGTTCAGCCCTCCTCTCAGTGCTCTGTTTTGTGACTTGGAGCTGATGAATTGTCACCCTGGATTCCTAGCGGGGTGTTCACGGCCCTGGGAGACCACAAGGCTCTGCGTGGTTCCCCCATGATTGGCACCCGGAGAGTACACCTCCTTCCCATCAGCTAGAGATGATGTCGTGTGTGTGTGTGTGTGCGTGTGTGTGTGTGTGTGTGTTTCTAGGGTCTGTAACTCCGTATCTATTCCAAAGTGGATTTTTTTAAACTCCTTAGATGATTTTCACTCAGCAAATGAAATGATGGGGCTCGTTGGCCCAGGGCCGTGCAGTGTCCTGGGGTCTGGTGGTGAGTCCGGCCGGTGACAGGTCGGAAAGGCTGCCTTCTGCCTGCCATTGGTGTGTGGTGTTCGGCTCTGTCGGCGCACTCCTGGCGTGAGTGAAGCTACCGTCGGCGTGAGAACCGACAGCTAATTCCACTATATTTTTTGGTTTCAGATTCCTATTTATATGTTTCACTTCATCTTTTTTTAGAACATCCTACCTATTCACAGTTTTGCATCTTTAAAAAAAATCTGTTTCTTTTCATGGCAAGCCTGGCTTTCCCTTATAAAGAGATTGACAGTGTTAATCTTTGAGATTTAAGAGCCAAATGCTCTTCTTATGATTATAGAATAATTTATCTTCCAGATTCATCATTAATATAACACCATTTAAAACTATTTTCAATTCTTGGTAATTAAGATTTTCAAAGTCTGTATTCTTTAATATAAAAATAAAACGTACTAAGTGTTAACATTTTAGAACATGTAAGAAAGCATAAGGAAAGAGCACTTTCAGTTACCTGTCCTCACGCGTGGGGATACCTATTCCAATCCGGTGTACTTCCTTTCAGATGCATGTTTTTTATAAATTGCACCCCTGTTCTCCCTTTCAGTGGAAGACGTATAACTCTGCGTTTTCCAAGCTGGAGGTCTGGTTCCGGTTCGTCTTCGTGGTGCTCACCTTCATCGTTACCGTAAGTGCCGTTCCCCTGACGAGGGCAGAGTCAGTTGATGAACTGTGACCGTCAAAGCGCCAACTGCCCAGGAGACTCTCCTGAGCTCCGAGACGCTCCATCCAGTGGCTGACCAGCGTTACCAAGTATTCCGTGTGTCTGCGAGGACGCCGCAGTGCAAAAAGAGGGACGTGGTGTCCTGTAGCAGGGACCTGTGTGCGGTGCGACACTAAGTACAGATCACTGACCTGTAGGCAAACTCTTCTCCGTGTGCAGCGACAAATGCCGGCATCCACAAGCTTAGCGTGACCTTGGGGGACATGCTCACCCTTCACGCACAGGCCGTGCCCACGGAGGCCTGGTCCGTGAGGGCGGGAGCTTATGAATTGGAGGAGGAGAATGTGTGCCTCACGGTGACTTGGTGCCATCTGGGGGTGGGATTCTTCCTGCATCGGCTGCCTGTCCATGCTGACGCAGATGGGGTGACATTTCGGAGACGTGTCCACTCTTTGCAGTGGTAGCCACTCCCATCTCCACCCAACAAACACTTGGTGCCTCGCAGACTAACTATACAGAAAGACACAGGCCCATGGGGGGCATGTAGACAGCCTATGGCGACCCGGGACCTGGGTGTGGATGAAGGGCGGGGCACAGCCGCTGGAACACACAGATCGCTGGGGACTGGTCACACGCGGGGCTTCCTGTCGTGAGCTTACCGCAGGAAAGTGGAGAACTGCCATTGACATTTGGTCAGTCAGATGTCCTTGCTGTTTCTCGAAGCATCTCTGGGGCCTGGGGTGCTGGGGCTCGAAGAGCTGGCACCCAGGGCCCTGTGTTTTTAAACAAGAGAAACGGTCTGAGCCTAACAGATAGATTTGCGGAGATGAGCCATTGTCTAAGCAGTCCAATTGCCTAGAAAAGTATTGGCTTGTGTTAGCGTATAGAAAAAACCACCAAAACAAAACAACATAAGCCCAGGCGTAAAATTCACAAACTGTGCAGTGTTTTAAAGCAGTTGGAAGACACTCGTCCCGTGGGCCACTGCACCTCCTTCCGGGGGTTTGGCACAAGCTCTGCCCGTGGTCGTGGGCCTTGTTCCCGGGCTGCTCCTTGGATGCTGTAAATGTTGCGATGTCGTCTGTAAATGTCGCGCTGCTGGGCGCGTGTGGCCTGGGCCCCGGGGAGGTCCTCCTCTGTGCGGCTCCGTCACGTTCCTTGCCCGCCCCCAGCCCAATGGGGACAGCTGTGACCTTCTGATCCGGGTCCCCTTTGCAGTAGCTCACCATCCTGTCCCAGTTGTCACTAATGCTCTCAGTAGTCAGTTCAGCAAGAGGTTAACTCAGGTCACGGCTGGCACCATGCCCGTCGACTGGGGCAGGCTTATGGTGATACTGCGCCAGGCATGAGCCGAGACCGAGACCATGACCGTGACCGAGGCCCAATCTGGTTTGCAGTGCCTGTTTGGCCACTCCCTCCGGAAGTTTTCCATGAGGGACTGGGGGATCGAGCAGAAGTGGATGTCCATTCTTTTGCCTCTGCTGCTGCTTTACAACGGTAGGTGCTGTTTTTATTCTGGAGTTTTCTCCTTTGGAATTTAGAGCTGACGGACGTCTGAGGCAGCCTGGCCCACGTCTCCAGAAGTGCCTCAGGTGGGGTGGGGGCCCCGCGCATGGGTGACATTGCACCAGGACCGAGCAGGTGCCGGCAGCTTTCACAAAGGAGGGCCTGCTTCGGTGGCTAGTACCAAGGAGGGCCACAGATGCGGCCTCCTGGGAACTTGGCCGAAGGTGGCAAACGCCGCGTGCTCCTCTTCCCGGGCTCCAGAAAGCTCTTGCTTCCGGAGCTGCAGCCTCGGGATTCCCAGGCCTGCGGGGCAGCGGACGGTGGGAGCGGACAGCATCGTGCGACTTCACTGGGGCAGTCTGTTCATTGGCTTTAGGTTTTCTGAAAAACAAAACAGCCTTTAGTTCCTGCCTTGCAAGACGCTGGCGGCCGCGCCTCCACCGCACCCTCCCGCCTTTCGTGTTCCAGATCCCTTCTTCCCGCTGTCCTTTCTGGTGAACAGCTGGTTCCCGGGCATGCTCGACGACCTCTTCCAGTCCGTGTTCCTGTGCGCCCTGCTGCTCTTCTGGCTGTGCGTGTACCATGGCATACGGGTCCAGGTGAGCCGCCAAGGACGTGGGACACCATCCCCCGGGCCAGCCTCTGCTGGTCGTCCTGGGAAGGACTTATCCTTGAGAACCTGTCTCCAGCCTGGTCGTCAAGAACGCACGCGTTGTAGAAATGACTTGAGTATCTGTGATCCAGTGTGCGCTAAGATTACTAACTGCTGTGTTCCTTCCGCTTTTTTGCATTTTAGGGAGAAAGGAAGTGTTTGACATTCTATTTGCCTAAATTCTTCATTGTTGGACTATTGTGGTTGGCTTCTGTTACACTAGGAATATGGCAGACGTGAGTAATTTTATTATGTGTGATGCTTCAGTATGGAAAGTGTTCAGCCTTGTGGACAGATCCAGAGTTTAACTGTATTTCGTGAACTCATCCAGAAAGGAATCTGTCACCCAGTGTTTCAAGATTGAGTAATGTGGCTTGAACTGAGGGTTCATTTTCACCTGAATGGCATGTGGAGACAGACATGAATCTTCTAGCCTAGGATGGAAAACGCCTCCTGCAGAGAGGCGAAGGCTTCTTCTGTAGGCCGCTGCTCCGGGCAGCTCCCAGTTCGCCACTGTCCACCCGACGTGCCCGTGGCTCCTGTGGCATCTGTAAACTTTCCCGTCCTTACACCAGCTCCCAGGGGTTCTCTTTGCTGGTATTTTTGTGCTGCTGTGAAACGGTGCCACCGCAGAAGCCTAACGGGTTTTCTGCAGAAACAAGTTCCATTTTAGGGGCGTGTTTTTGACACCTGGCACATCAAGCTAATGGCCCAATGATGACAGGACTGAGCTCACACCTTCTCTGCTTCCCTCTCCCTGCCTGCCTGTCATCTCAGCTATCCAGGTTCATTTTAAATCGGGTTTCATGGAAGTTTATATTTACTTTTATTACTTTCTTTGTCTGCTCTTCTATTTCCTGGTGCCCATATATGTCATTGAAAGGTGCCTAGAAAACAGACCTTAATTAAAATTGCAAGAGAAGCAGTATAGGAATGAAAGATACTGCGACTTCACAGTGCTGACTGTGGACAGACAGCACCGTTAGCATTGTGTGTGTTTTCAATGTGAAATTTAGGATTTCTCATAAATTTAGGATTACTTTTTAAAAATCCTTTGCTGTTGGTGAGCAAGTAGTTTATGTTAATGAGTTTTTTAAAATCTAAGAGTATAAAAGAAAAAGTAAACTAGTTATTAATTTATGACTTTTTTGACAACATATTTTTAGAGTTAATGAGTTACACGATCCGACATACCAGTACCGAGTGGACACGGGAAATTTTCAGGTAAGAATTGTGAATGAAGCCTGAGGATTTTTTTTTAAATGGTGTTTAAAAATAATACTAAATTTTGTAACTTAAATTGCACTGTTGACACAAGCTTGCTAACTGGCTATTTTGGAAGGACTAGGGAAAGTTCATGGGTGGAAAATTTAGAAAAATGTGTTGGAGTAGCATGAAAAATAAACGTTTAAAAACTCTGTTTTCGCTCCTAGCCCTTGGTTTGTGGTTGAAGTGCCAGAGCCAGAAGTTGTCAGATTTTAGGAACATTGTAGAACAATTAAGAAAACATTTCTGTTCATTTAGTTCTCTAAAGTAGTGGGAGGTTTCCAGCGAGCAAATGGGCTGGCCGGAGCCTGTCCCTTTTGAACAGGGATCCAGGATGTTTACTTTACACAGAGGCCTGCAAGTGACAGTCAGCCCGAGTGTGACTTCCCCTCGACCCCCAGTCATGTGGCATTTCTCTGTGCCTCTCAGCAGCCCCTCCGGCCACAGCTCCCGCTGAGCCCGCTGTGGACCCACAGGGTCTCAGTCGTGTTCCCCGTGCGGGGCAGTCCCGGTGGCACGAGCTGAATCTCGACCTTGGGTGACATCCAGCATTTCTCTGTGGCTTTGCAGAGTCTCCTGGAGAGTGATGGGGAGTGAGTCTGCGGTTCTTTTGGGAACGGCCAGAGACAGAGGGCAGTGTAGTGAATGGTGATGTGCTAAGGCGTCTAACCTGCGTTGAGACCGTGTCATAGAGAACAGTGTAAATGCCTGACCCTTAACCGAAATCCGGGCGGGAGCACAGTAGCCTTTCCAGTCCGTTATTTCTCAGTTGGAGGGGTTTTGAAGGTGGCTGGATGTGTGCCTTCTGAACAGCATGCCATGACCTTTGCCTTCAAAGTGTACACGACCTTGTGATGGAGAAAGAGCATAGAAAATAAAGACCACTACCGCCAGGAGTGGGGGGCTCCACCGGATGTGCCCTGTGGACAGCGGGCCCAGGTCACTGGGGGAGGCGGCATCTGTGTGTCCTTTAACTACATTTGGGGGGAAGGACTGTACCTTGTGTTGGAGAGGAGGGGGAGAGGCGGTCTGGGCCAGGGAGGCGCTGTTCCAGAGTCTTGTGGGCAGGGTGAGGAGGAGGGCGTCGGCCAGTGCCCAACGGCAGGGAGCCCCGAGTCAGCCAGACTCGTGGGGCTCTGCTCCAGAAGCCAGATACCCTAGGAAGGCTCAAGGCCACATCAGGTGAGGGGCAGGGCCTCAGTGGAGGTGACTCTAGTTGGGGGTGGGGACACTAAAGGACAAGGAAGGGACTGTTTGACACATTCTCAGGGCAGAGCCTGCAGACGCAGGTGACAGACCACATATGAGGCTGTTGGTTGAGAGCGTAACCCCCAGATTTAGATAAAATAGTACAGAGTCATGCTGATCTACTGTTCTTAAAGCTTTCGTCTGGTGCGGTCCCCTCATTTTTCATGGAGGAAACTGAGGGTGGCCAAGGTTCTTGCCCCGAGTCCCCCACTCGGAGCTGCGAGCCTGGTTTCCAGGCCCCCAGGGCTCCCCGGACACTTGGCCGGCAGCCCACCTCTCTCCCTAGTCCTCTCTTGTTTCATCTGTGAAAGAGGGTGATGATGGAATCTTCCTGAAGGAGTTGTGAGGATTCACTTACACAGTGAGGAAGGCGAAGCACTTGGCACAGTGCCAGCCCTGAGAAGGGCTTCATGTCACAGCCACCCGTCTGCCCCATCTCAGTCAGGTGGTCGGGAAGCCAGCCATGAGGGGGCTCAGGAGTCACCACAGCCCCCCTGGGAAGGACAGTGGCCTGGTCTGTTACTGAAGGAAACACTGGAAATCAGAGACTTCTCGGAAGCTGAGAAAAGCCACAGGGACCCACGACTGATCTGGTGAAGTCCCTTTATTTCACAGATGAGAAGATAAATCCTAGACGACAGTCACAGTTCTGACGAGGCGAAGCAGATGCTGGTTTCCTGACCAGCAGTCCTTTGACATGGAGGGGGTTCTGGCTCCAGGAAGAAAGGGCAGGGGTGGAAGATGCCGCGGGGTAGTGCACTCCACGGGGGGAGTCTGTGGCTCTAGCAAGAGAGGGTGCGTCACCCACCCTGCGGGCGGCCCCACCTGCCTGCCCACCACAGCCTCTAACCTCAGAACAAAGCGTTCTTGTTTTTTCTGTGAAAAAGTTACCCAGTCCTGTGGTTTCAGACCTGATGTCTTCCAGATGCTCTGGGTCCGCCCCCTCATCTCACAGATAACCAGCAAGTGGTGACTTGCCTGAGGAATTCTCGGGGTCTGGTCCTGGGTTCTTTGACACGTGTCACCATCTTCACAGGCAGAGCAGGGAGCCAGGCCTCACCCCAGGGACAGAGATGAATAGGAGCCACTGCAATTTATTGAGCACCTACTACGTTCCAGGCCGTGTGTGTGTGTGTGTGTGCGCGCGCGCGCGCTAGGAGCTTGGCACATGCAAGGGAAGCAGTGTGGGTTCTTGTCATCTGATTAGCGAGGGCTGGGGGTCCTCTTGGGTGGAGCCCCCCTCTCTCCCAGCAAGGATGGGGGCTGAGCATCTCCTTGTTCTGTTTTAGAGAGTGACCTTCAGGGCTCTGGGTCCCTTTTAGAAACGTTGGCCTTTCCTCCTGCACGTGGCGCTGGACGGAAGAGCAGCTCTGAGACCTTGTTTCATTGCAGGGAATGAAAATGTTCTTCATGGTGGTGCACGCGGTCTCCATTT